ACTGTAACATCTTTTTTGACACAATCCTCCCAATGCATTCGAGGTCTTTCTAGTGGTCTTTTCCCTCTTGGATTCTCTTGTAAGACCGTTTTTGTCATAGCATCAGGTTTCCTTCACACATGATTTGCCCATTCTAGTTAAATATTTACATGATATATATATAGGTACTTTACAGTTACTTTATTTTATATTTTAAGATCAGCGAATGGCCGTAATATATCTACGTACTCGTATGTGCATATGATTGTGTTTTCAGTGATGGCGTTAGGGGGGGGGGCATTCCGTGCAAATACCCGGAGCCCCGTGATCAGGGGGACCCCGTGTTTAATTGTTTGTTTTTCATAATTTTATGGCACGTAGAGAAAAAAAATAAATTTATGGCACGTAATTTAAGAACAATTTTTTGTAAATAAGTAATGTAGCCAATGTGCACAGTTAATGCATACAAAACCAATTATAGGCTATAAAATATAAATTATAATACATTATAAAATATACTAATATAAATACATTTCACTTCGATCAACAATAACATCCGATAAAGTACGAATACCCTTTAATTATATTTATTTTAGTATAATTTAATTTACTCAATACACACATTGACACATAAATATATGAATATATTTATTTTTTTTATGTAACTATTTTGTTTTTATTTTATAACTATAAAAAATTAAATAAATATTATTTTTTTTGTTATGTATGATTTATTTTGATTAAGCTTTATCGTTTTTTAAACCAATTGTATTCAATAACTAATTATTTTAAAATATACTTAACTGTGAATCTAATATATATGTATATTTTATAAAAAGATACATATTATAAACTAATAAGTAGTAGAATCAATAAAATTATGAACAAAAATATGTTAAGTGTCATAAAAATGTTTTAATTTTGATAATATACTCGTATTTATACCTATCTAATAAATTGTATTTATTTAAATAAATTGTCAATCAGGAATACCTAATAAAATAAATCTCTATTGTTAACTGGTAATTGGTATCTAAAATGTGTTTAAAGACTATCAGTTATTATATAAAACAAAAGATCAAGAGTAAGTATTTACCGTCTACTTCCGTAATCATCAAGGGCCCCACCAAAAATATTGCCCAGGGTCCCAAAAACATAGTGCCGTCACTATATGTGTTTTATAGAAATATGTTATTTTAGACACCCTATTAGTAATTTATGCCACTATTTGTGAACGCCATAAATCGTAATTCTGAAAAAGTAATACGTTCTATAAGAATAGAAAAAGTTTTGTTAATGTTTGTTGCCAAGTTTGGATTTTTATTTCTGGAACATAGACCAATGTTTATTTTATTTACACATTAATAAGGTTATTGTAATTTCAGCTATTTATAATATTTTTATAACACTGATAAACATATAAATATATTAGTCTATTTAGTCTGAATCCTTGGTTTTGAAGTGAATCGCAGTCAACTGTAGACATATCATTCTAAAACTTAAGAAAATGTTTTAATTGTCGTTAAGAAGTTTCTTTGAATACCATGATTTATCATTGATTTTATACTTATATTTATAATAATACATCTTGTACTGCGATGAGAGGTAACTATCGGAGTATCCAATTGGGATCTTTTAAATGTTTGTCAATATACAAAATAGAAAAATCTGTAATATAGGTGTAATTTGGCGGGAGGGTGGGGTTCAGTGTTTTAGAATTGTCTGGAGCTCATTCACTCTCAGAGGTAAATGTATATGACACATTATTGCTAGCATAATTTTATTATAAAATTTTAAAATGTCTAGTGATTAACAATGTTCAGTATAAATTAATAAAATATAGCTAACACAAAAAATATTTAATAGTATTAAAATGTATAACTGTGTGAGGTTACTTATTCAACATATATTTTTAATAAAACACCTCAAGATTCTAGACCGTCAACATTTTAGGCCTAGTTTGCTTATACGTGTATGTTATAAGTATTATAACTTTTGTCGTTTGGTTTGATATAGATTAAAGCAGCTACTACTAAAATTAAAATTTGCTTGTACGCAACTAATTTAGCAATACGCTTAAACTAATATTACAAAAATTGGTGATAATTAATTTATAATATTACCTTGAATTATTATACAGCATTGCATAATTAAACAACACACAAACATGTTTTTTCTATATAATACGTACGTACATTTTATTTTTATCTATAAACTTTTAATATGTTACTGATGACTACTATTTTTCTCGATTGGAAATAATAATTAATGAACTTGTTTCTACAACCTGGTACTGTTAACACTATTCAATTGATTTACTGTAGAATTCTACCTACTAAATGCCACAACTCGAAATTACTGTTCAGTGTTTCTAGTTTTTGTATTGTCTATGTTTACTGGTGTTGTAAATTTAATTGTTAAATTTTTGTTGAAAATAATATCTGCGTATTTTTTTGTATGATTGTAACTAAAGCTTATTAATTTTTATTGAATTATCTATGATGGTTTTGGAAAATTAGATATTATAAAATAAGCCTGATGCATTATTTTTTATTATTTTTTAATATGTTTCAAAAAATAAATAAAAAATGAGTATTTTATTTAATCTTTCCTTTAATATAGCCTTTGTTTATAATTATTAATTATTATAAATAATTAAATGAGTATCAAAAACTGAATTTTAATATTTTATGACAATGAAACTTTTTAATTGTTTTTCATTTATTTATTTTAAGGTTATTTTATAATATGCAATCGTTATTTTATATTACGAAAAAGCCTAAGTTTTTATTTAGCTTTAAGAAAAAAACCACATAAATGTAGGACTATAATTTTTTATTTTTCCTAATTGAGAAATTATGTTGTTAATTTATTGTTTAAGTTTATACTTTGATACGGAGTAGACGTCTGTAATAACTCGGTAAGGTATATCACATTTTAGAATTTTGATATCTAAACTATGAATCTACTCGTATATGTTCTAGATCTTGTTTTCATTTATAATTTTATATTTAAAATATAATTTTTATAATTTGTTAGTTATCTTTATTTTTTAAAGTTAAAATTAAATGAATATAGTATAGGTTTATTATACTTTTTAAGTGAGTTCATGTAGTATGTTTAGTATTTTCTTATTAAATAAATAATACATTTTTTTTTCAAAGGATTATCTTTATTCCAGTCATAATTAATTTTATCTTAAATATAAGTATTATAAAATAATAAGAAAATAGATACTTTATATTAAAGTGTATTTATGATCCAATTTTCTATAAATAAAGCTAATAAACTTCAGCGAAATAGCTCAAAATTGTTAGTTTAACTTCGAAATTTGAAGTTTTTCAATCCAGAAAGTCACCTCAGGGATTTATCGACTTTTAAAAACTTTTATCCGTGTCGTATACCTACGGTAATCCTATGCTCTTTTATATTGAAACTTTAACAAAAACTACTATATTTATTGTTTTATTTTTCATCTCTATCTACACTCACTCTTATTTTTTACCCCCCGGAATAAGGAAAAACTTATAAAATCGAAATTGGATTACTGTAAGCGGCTATCGATGACAATATAAACCGATATGTACTTAGAATAGAAAATATATGTAACGTCTATCTAACAACTATTGAATTGATTCCATAATTCAACTATTCATCATTACTAAAATATTAAATCAAAAAAATAAACACGTTTATTTGTTATCCAATGTTAAAGCACGTTAAAGAATACTTGTTGCAATAATACTAGTAAAAGTATTAGTTCACTCAAAAATTTTTTAACAAGATTATTAAAATTATTAAGTACTTATTTTTCTTTGAGTATTTTCAATTTAAAATCTTCAAGAATATGGTTTTTTAATTTTTAAAGCTGTTCCTTACCGACAACCGAATGGAGTTGAATGGTTCCTTGTACACATTTCATATTGAATATATTTTGAAAAAGAAGATTTACACTTAAATATAATTGTAATACTATGTAGTTGTAAAACCTTTAAACTTGAATAATTTTTTTTCTTATTTATGAGATTCTGATATGAAGTTAAATAATGTATTTGTTGCATTACTTACGTAAAGATAAAAAACTTATGACTCTATTCTAAAGAATTAAATGTTGTAAATTTTGTATATTGTATATTTTTAACACAGTAAGTACCTATAATAATTATAAGAAAAATATAATTTTTTATTAACGGATATTCAAATAAATATCAAAGTTAATTAAACTTGGTTCATAGTTGCAATTTATATTAAACTAATTAAATTAGACTTGATTAAATATAAATGTATCTTAAAGAAGAAAAATTAATAAAATTCTACTAAATAGAATATATATTTAAAAATATAAGCCTTTGTTCCTTAGTATTGTTTTGTCATTTTAATTTAATTGCTTCGATTTTTAAGCCAAGATATTATTCATTATGTCTATAATAAATAACCTTCTTAAAACGTTATTTAAATAATATTAAGTTGATATTTTTATTTTATCTAAGAAAATTCCAACCATATTTTAAGTAGATCTGACAAGGAATAACGAGGATAGTATGCATAATATATACGTATATAATATTAAAATAAAATTAACAATGTGAAATAAAATAAATACACTTCAAATATTTATTGGTTATAAAATTAACTATGTGTAATATTAGAATAATTGTTTGAATGTGATTTACTTTACCTATAATTTGGCTATAAAAGTATCAATAGATGAGTTGTTAATTTATAAGACCAATATTTACTGTCTTACAATTTAAATCATAAATTATTAATTATCAAAATTTCCATTTTGTTGAAATAAATTGTAAATTTTACAGTAATTTATTAAATTTTGATGTTTAAAATAATGTAGGTATTTGAAATAAATTTAAACTGATGAGTGTTATTTTTTTGAAATTTTATATTTACTATTTAATTATATATGAATAATGAGTTAAAGTGTAATGGATATATTGTATAAAATAATATTGTTCTCTAAGCTATTATTAAAAATGAAATTATATTATATGTTAAAAAAAAAAAAATAAATAATAAAAAAAAAATGTATAGTTACAACTTACAACTCGTGCGGACAAAAAGTTTACAGTTTTGATAATATAACAAGATAACATACAATATCGCATAATTTAAACGAAGGAGCCAAAATAATTGGATAACAATTTTTACCGTTTTCACGACGTATTAAGTAAAAACAAAGTTGATGTTAATGTTATTAATGTTACTTTAAAGTTGAACGTTATGCACATCGCTACTGCTGATCCACGTACTGAAACCAAACACACAAAACGTAATTAATTAAGCAGTATCAATTTTTTTTTCTTCAACTATAAATCATTTTTATTTTTTGACCACGATTTTAAAGAAGTTAATAAATGTTAAATGTACATCAAATAAATGTGCTTACATTTTAGAGATTTACGAACTGGGGTCTTATTAACTTTACGATATGTATATTTTAAGAATAAAATCAGTATAATATCCTATTTCGAGTTAATTTATAAAATTATATTAATGCTAGTTAGGTATACGTTACAAAAATACAAGAAAATAAAGAAAGTTCAAAGTAAAACGTTTAATACTTAGGTCAGGTTAGTAATATTTTGTAATTTGTAAGAGCTTCTTTTATTTTTTTACACCATTACTATACTTTTTGCATTATTTTGTAAAGTATAAGTAGAGAATTAATGTTAGTGAAAGTACATTTATCTGTACAAAATTAAATTAGAATTTATGCATGCAATTTGACATTAATAATTATTAAATAAAACCAGTACAAAAAGGACAAAGAAAGGGTAATAGGTGGGTACATAGAAACATGCAAATATAAATAATTTACATGTTTTTTTTCTAGTGGTTCACACTAATATTTTTGGTACGCGTTGTCCTCTTGTATTATATACAGTTATTTTTACTAAAGCACTCTTACGTAAAATATATGGAATTAGTTTTATATCTATATATATATGAAAAATGTATTATTATATATACTATGGCTAGTTGTCTCGTTGAAAGAGAATAATAATAAAAAAAAAAAAAATAGATAAAATATTAGTTGAACAAAAGTCAAAAACAATGTTATACATTTAAAATATAATAGATTTTTTCGTCTAACTATTATTATTTATGTTTAAATTAAATTTTCAATTTTTTATTTAAAAAAATAGAAAACATCTACCTAAGTAACCTACCAAGGCAAGTAAAATATATCAGAATAAAATATGATATGTGCTTGCAACTTTTGAAACCTATGTACCTATATTATATTTAGATAACATGTACAATTTTTTGGTTGCAATAAACTGTTATTACTATTATTAATACATATATATGATTATCCTATTATTCTTTACACGCTGTTTGTTATTGTTGATTGACATCTATCTTAAATTGCAACATTTTATTACGTTAATTATTTTATTTTAACTCGATTTAATTATGTTTAAATATTTTTTAATAAAAATAATGAAACTTTGTTCTTTTACTTTCCATAAAAAAAAAGTTCAAAATGTAATTGGCAAAATATAATTTTAATGTTTTAAATAAATAATATAAGTGGGTAACTATTACTAATTTTTAATAATATAATTTAGGTACTATATTATGTAGTATATTTTAATAAAAAATAAAATAAACTATAAGTAATCATCTTTTGTATAAAAATATAAAATATAATATTTTTTTGTGTGGACAAAGAAAATGTTTTCTGAAATTTTTCTTTTCGTTATCATTTCTGATTTTCATATTTTGTATTTTTATGGTTTGAATCAATCAAAAATTATACGTTTCAGAGAGAAGAATTATTTAGTTGTGGATTATTGTTAGTTTCGGTTATTTTGTAGTTATAGATAACGAAAAAATAAACCCATCACTGTACAGTGGTGTAAAATGTATTTTCAGTACTATGCAATTTTTGAACTGTTATTGATGAATTAATTGATAATTGACAATGTAACATAAATTATTAACATATTTTTAAAATATTAATAAAAAAATAATGTTTAATAATGTCTTGAGTAAAGTATAAAATTGTAAATTCACAATTAATAGCAATTTTTGATGATCAATTATATACATTTTCTAGGTATAGAAAGTTAATAATGATTAAAAATTAAATTTAACTGGGTAAAGTAGAGTTTAATGATTATTAATAAATTAGAACAGATTTTTTAGAATTTACTTTAAAGAAGTTTTAAAATTATGTTGATAAAATATTATCATACTCAAATCTTCTAATGGATATTATCCATTCTCAAACTTCTTTATAATAATTAATTTGGCTTTGTATTTTTCAATTTGTTTATTTTTCATATTGTCATAAAAAAAAAAAACAGAAATAAAGAAAATCTTGTTTATTTTTATTTATTATTCTTAAGTGTTTTTTTGTTGTTTTAATTTGATTTTTGTTACTTGTAGATTAAGTTGAATCAACGTTATTTTTTTATAATCAATACTATTAAGATTCAATTTATAATAATAGTGTTTACTTATTTAGGAAGTTTTTTCTGTTGAATATATTTATTTTTTAAATGCACATATTAAGTTATTTATCAATACGTTATTTTATTAAATTTGACAAAGATTATTCGTAATCTTATACTTAATAAATTTTTTGCTATAAAACATTATTTAGTGGAAATTAGGCTCGACTTAGTTATTTTATTTTTTAAAGGTTTCAGTTTTCTTTTAGATTTTTTACAAAATAATAAAATATATAAACTGTGAAATTTGAATTCATATTTGTATTTTTTTCGTAAACATTATATAATAATTATGTGGATAAAATGAATAGCTGTCATAGCCATACAATATATGGTATAGCTTTAGGTTGATTATCAATGTATGCATTATATTGAAATAAGCGTATAGATGATAATCAATATAAATTCAACATAATAAATAGTATACGTAATATACTTACCTATTTATGATTTAACGATATGAGAGATTCGTAAATGTTTATTTTAAATTTAACTAAAATATATAATTAACTCAAATTTTAAAACATTTATCATGTATTATGTAGAATAATGAAAACCTTGAACTCATTTTTCTCATTTTTTTTAGAATTTATGTTTAAAATATTTTAAAACTTGTACTCATAAACCATAGTATATATATTTAATAAAAACCATTCTTTGTGTTTTGTGTTTTATAGTAAAAATCTGTTCATATTAGTAAAATCTAAGTGGTGATTAACATAAATCAATTATAGAAATTACACAGGTACTTTAATTTAGATTATAAAATACATGGTGTTTAAATGAAACCAGATAATAGATGCTTACACTTACCTAAGAGTATTGCTTCACGTTTGTATTCCTTAGGAGGTGGTAATGCCTTTGGACGACCTATATTGATGATAGCTTGACATGTAACTTTCATTAAGCCATTGTTGAAATGATCAGGAGATATTGACAAATTCAATTTGGATATACTGATATACAAACCGTTGTGTAATTTTTCTGAGCGGTCGTAATTGGAAACCACCTAACCAAAATATTTGTCATTTGCGTTTATAATAATAATATAATATAAATAAATTTATTATCGTGTACATCTATTTTATTTATAATTTTAAAATTCAACAAGTGTATTGGAAATATATTTTAATTGATTAAAATATTTTACATTTTTCAATTATATCAGTAGGGTTATCAATAATATTAATTTCTAATATTTTTAAATATTTGGTTTGTTAGTTTTGAATGAATATTTATTTGTTTTCTTAAAGAAAATATTTCGTAAAAAATGTTATCTTGATATTAATCAAGTATTTAAAATTATATAGTGTGTAGAGAAATATAATAGTTGTATTGAAAAGGTGTTGAAAGAATTTATTTGGTATGATTAGTTTCTGGTTCTATATTTTCAAAATATTTTTTAAACTAATTAGTACAACTAATTATAACTAAAATTATTCTATTTAATATGCTAGAATTTAAAGCTGCAAGACATTTTTTATTACAAAAGACTTCAACGTGAATAACTTTTAAAGGTTTTAAAATTCAAAACAAAAATGTACTCTGTTGTAAAAACTTTTTTCCATAAATAATAGTTTGAATACAACTCATTAATTAAGTGTTGAATAATTAGCTACATTATTGTAGAAATTTACAGTATTTATACCGAACAGTACATAGCTATAGTATTCTATAAATTCAGTTTTACTGATGTTTGTTTTTTTGATTTATAATATTATTAAGTGTCAAAACAAATCTAACTTACCATTTTGTCATTAATATACCACCGAAGTCTTGCAGCAGGAAATGATTCTCCCGACGTACAATTTAAATAAATAGTGTCACTAGTTTGATAGACTCCAGAGCCTCCATTGATTTTTGTTAAATCTTTAGATTTTGGCAAACCTAAAAGAAAGTTAATAACAATGAAATATTTTTTCAAGAATTCAATATAGGTAGTTGAAAGTTTAATAATTTTACTTAATATTAAACTTAAATTTTTTTTATTAGTTCGTCAAATATTACTTTATTAATAATTACTGAAACAAAAATAATCTGTGCATTCAGTTTTGGTTTATTATTTAATTTAATAAATAATATTTAAATTAAAAATCATTTGTTTTAATGAAAATTTACAATCTATAAAAGGTACAATAATCAAATAAGTTGTAATACGATGTGAAATGGTGAAAAATAAAACATTAAGCAAGAGTTTTACATTTAAAACTCTTGAAAATGAGTGGACTTTAAATATTATGTTTATGCATTATAATATTATTGAGTAAAATTATTGAATTATAATATTGCATAACATATGTATTTATATAAGTATATCAAATTATTAATTTTTATTTATATTTAATTAAAATGTAACATGAAGACTAAACTGTTCAAATTTTGAAAAAAAATATAATTTTGAGATACTTATCAATTTAATATTTTTATTTAAAAATATGGTTATTAGTAAGTTAATTTATTCTAATCTTTTAAGTTAAATATATTTATTTTGTTATGTATTATTATACATAATACTTTAAATGAATTAATTTTACTATAGAAGAAACAAAATTTTTTTTTTTTTTTTAATACTACTCATTGGATAAATATGTCATACTCGCGGAATATGTTTTCAATATTCATATTTAAATACTAATAATCACTATTCAATTAATTAACAAAAACCAATGGAAATAAGCGAGTGAAATGTAATGGTCTATTATTAATTAGGTAATTAATTAAATTTAAATTATTATGTTTTAACTCAGAAAATAATATTTGATGTTCAAAATATCTATTAAGTATTTTTATTTTTAGTACTCAACGCTAACATAATATTATAAAAGTTGAAAAACATCGTGGCTTCACTTGTTTTATAGATGTGTTCACGAAGCATCTAAAATTTTCATTGTTAGTTTGACATACACGATGTTTCTAAATTATTGAAGAAAAAATCTAGATTCAAACTTTCACAGTCAGTTTTTTAAATATCAGTATGAAAATATTGAATTCAATATTGAAGATATACTATACTATTAAGTAGCATTATATACATGATAATTTATCGAGTGGAGAGCTCGATAAAAAATAACTCTGATGTATGTACGAATAATAGGCATGTTAAAGTATTTGTAATTCCCAAAAATAAAAGTAATTACAGTGTATGAAAAATAATTTTAGATGAAACTCAAGACCTTTAAATTCAATGGCCTATAGTCACGTGCCTTATTTATTAAATTTACAAAAATTACCACTACGACGAATAGCAATAAAACTTATTCAGGTACATATTTAAAAGTTCAACACAATTTATTTAAAAATTATACGTTGAAATAATTGAATTATAAAACTTAATTATTTTTTATTTTGCCAATTTGACTATTTTTTTTTTTTTTGTTTATAGTATTTTAGAATCTTTGCGTGAACACGGCTTAATAAGTTTAACCACCGGCAATTAAATCTATTGTCTATGTATTATACTACACTGATATAATAAGTGTAGACGGTTGTACCGCAGGAAATTCGTTTATCGCTGCCGAATCGCTAACCTACATAATATTAAATGGACGATATAAAACGAATTAAGAGTCAAATACATATTTTAAAAATAATAAACCCGTAAATAATAAATAATTTTTCGGCAAAATTTTTAAAAACTGTTCATCGTTTATTATCATGTGTATGTAGTATAACTAAGAAATGTATATGCCTACCGTTTGATATACCAGTTAATAATAGAAGATCTTCATATTTATTTATTATCAAATAATCAGATTAGAAAAATGATCATTGATTGTACCAAAACGCCACAGTGTAGTTTTTTTTATTAATTTTAATTTTAAAATACTTCGTGGGCATATGATAAAAAGGTAATAAAAAACTTGTGATTATTTCAAAACTGAAAAACAAAAAAAAATTCATCTCGGTTAATAGCGGGTTTTTAATGCTTATCTATTATAGTCTGCAACACCACCCTCGGTGTATGCATTTATATTTGGTGATACGCGTGCTTAAAACGGATTATGTGTAATGTGTACAAGTAAAATACATATTTAATAGTTTGTTTATATACTTATGACAAGTTAACATTATTATGTTGTCTAAAATGTGCAAAAATATATATGTTCAACATTTTACAAGCTATTATGTAAACGACAATATCCTACACAACTCGTTTCATAAAAAATGTATAACTGAAATATACAAAAAAAAAAAAAAAATAATAAAATAATCAAGTGGGGGTGGGAGTATAACATGTGTGGCTTTAGTCAGGTAGATAGACGGGATACACAATAAAGGTTTTGTTAAAGTGCAAAGTTACGTGTTTTTACTTAGTCATTTCGGACGTTTAATAGTAGCGCGTATACATTAGTTGTGAATGGGCTATTAAAATAATTGGGTAAGGGAAATCGACGTATTGTGTAGCGATGTTATGGCAGTGTAAGCCTGTGACCATTTTTCAAGGAGCCATCATAATAATAACAACGCTGTCAGGTCCCTATAGTAAGAAGGCGTCGTTGAAATACTTCGAGGACATACGATGTGTACACAGTGGAAGAGTACTAGAACATAATTAATATTAACGGCTCTATCCCAATGCGCTTTCTTCGAGACATTGATGTATTCGATTTCGCGTATACCTTTCTTGTTTAAGCTGAAAACCTTTACCTACTGATTCTCGTGATTAGGGCGATTGTGAATAGTGTACATTTTTGTTTTATTAACACGGTTGATATTATTAAAAGTATTAGACTCCGCTCATTCCGATAGTTGACATTTTTTCTTTATGTATATTTTATGTATTATATATTATATATATATTTAAGGATTTAATTTAAAAAAAATATAGTTCAATATTAAGTAAAATTGTATTAATTGTTGCGTGCTCGATTATGAGCATAAACGATATTTTTAATTTGTTATAAGAAAATTAATCTAGAAATTTATACGTGTATATTATTTTTTAGTAATAAATTTTAAGATAAGAGTTATTTAAATAACTGAATCTAAAATTTAGCAGATGGCTTAATTTATATGAATTATAAAAAAATAGCTAATAATTTTTCTAAAAACCATTTATTATTATTAATATTTATAATTACCGATATATAATAAAGTTTATGAATATTAACAGTAGGTTATAGATATTAACAGTAGGTTATAGTCATCTGTATAGGCGTTCGTTAAAGTCAAATTAAGCAATATAAAATAAATATTATGTTAAAATAAAAATAATAAATTTGGTTTATCTGATCTTAAAAATGTGTAATGGTAGGTATTTTAAATGAATACAGTTATACTGCATCGTTCATAAAATGTTATAATACAAATTAAGTGTTATTAGATTAAATATTTTGTTTTTGTAACTTTTAAAATGTTCCAAGTTTGTCAATTTAGATAAGAACAACAAAAAATCTTTAGTGGATCACGTAAAACTAATAATGACTTATCTCAATCAAAGTATTTGAATATATATTTGGCGTATATTTTTCATAAATAATAACAAATTATATCTTAATTTGTGAAGATTTTAAAACATTGTTTGCAATTAAACGTAATGTTATAATATGTAAATACCTAGTTATATAAGATTAAAAACTTTAGAATATAAATTTATAATCATTATTTCTACATATTTTTATTATTTGAATTAATGATGTATACAATATAATTTCATATATAGCTTTAACTAAAAGATAATACAATTCTATAAAATTATATATTTGTAGGGTAAACATATTGACATATAGATTATTATATAAATATATAAATATTGACCAGTTTAACAGTTAAAAATCGTTTTCAATACGTTTTTGTTTGAAGTAAATAATTTTTTGAAAATAATGACTATTTTTATGATTTACACTTTTATCAGTGACACTCAGACGAAGAGAGTTCATGTTTAGTTTAAAATAATGAGAAAATTTACTCTTAACTAAGAATTAACACGGTCTACACCTGTAATATTAAATTTCTTAAAAAATTTAGGCAGAATAATGATTCTAATTCAATAAATGTTTTCCTAAGAATTTATTAGTTGGTTTCCTAGTTAAAATATGTAGGTAGACGTGGACAAATATTTAATTCCATTTATATTTATGCATTATGTACAATGTACAATATTTGAATATATATAAAATTTAAAACACTAATAGTTATAAATAATCAACTTATGAGTACTAATTTATTATTTATTTATACGTAGTGAATTTAATTTCAATTAATTAGTTAAAATTGAATTATATTTTATGAAGATATAAGGGAAAAGTGCATATTATAATTGAATTCTGAAACTAATTTTTATCTAATCATTTCACATAAATATTTTGTTTAAAATTAAATGATTAATGTTTAAATGAGCTTACTTATTATGGCCATTTTGGATTCAGCGTGTACAGTCGTAAAGAACGGTGCTTCAGCAGATACTTCACACTTATATTCGCCATTCATCAACAAATTAGCGTAGCGTAAGGTGACTTTTTTGCTGTCCGAGTAATTATGCTGCAAATCATAATTTTAAATATCACGTAAGTTCTCAGTTTAACGATTTAAGTACAAATTATAATTTGTGAAGACTAAAATTAATTGTAAATTGTCAAATATCCAATACATTTTTCATGAGTGGATGGATCACGGACAACTCAAAATGTAATTAATTATTCGATTAATTTCAATTTAATTAAATTTGATAATTAAACACCTTGACAGGCATTATTTCAACATGATTGACCAATTGTCACTAAATTTATATGGCTTATGTTATAAATTTATGAATAACAAAAAATGATTTATTCAATAATTATTATTTGTAATTTTTTATCTTAGTATAATATTTAATTTAAAGTTGTTTACTAAAAGTAACCATTCTTTTTTTCTGTTTCAGTTATTTTTTTTCATAAATAAAAAAATATCCTAGTAGCTTTGTTAATCTGTATAAAAAATATAACTTTTTTCGTGTTTTTAATATTTTTTGATTGATTATTGTAAATATTATTATTAATACTATTAGACTAGGAGTTTTACAATGATTTTATAAAATATATTATTTATATTTTATTTAAATATTTATTTATCAATCTAAAATTAAAAGCTTCATAAAAATTATTTTTTAAAAGATCGTGAAATAAATACTACTAATTCTTTAACAACATTTTTTTACTATTTAAATACTTATAAAAGTGTTATATAATGTTATTGTTATAAAAACTGTAACTAAGATTAAATTATACTCAAAAAATACTTCGATAATGTTTCTTATTTTTTAGGTTTACTTTTGTATTTTTGAATAGATAGTTAGTTTATTCTACAATAATGGATCCAGATGTTATCAAAAGAATGGAGTTGACGGAATTTCAGAAAATAAAAAAAACTTAACAATAGTGTTTTTATGATGTTTTTCATGAAGACTTGTTTATTAATCTTGGTGGCATTTTTTCCATCCAATCAATATTTGATTTCCATTACAGAGAAACGGTCGAGTAAATACATGAAAATTGAAGCTATTCCAGTGTCTGAAATATAATATAATTGAAAAAAAATTTGTATAAACACATAATGATTATTAGACTTATGTTCCTTTGCTTATTTAAAACCAATAGAATTATTCAGTAATAGGTATTATGATAAAGCAATATATCAGATATTAAATAAAAAAAAATAAAATAAAATAAATACTAGTAGTCTATTATTATATATATTTTTTAATGAAGTTGAAAGCTCCCAAAACAATCAATCAAATCAGATATTAATATAACAATAAATTCTAAAAAGCACGTTTTATTCTTGCTATTAATACTTTCACTGAAACAATTCCTAGATTTTATTTATTAGATTGTTTTTGTTCGATACCATTACTATAATAAATTGAATAATTCACGGAAAGAATTAGGAATATGAATTAATCAAGTACTTGTGATTTACGAATAGGTATTCATAAATATATTTTATATGTAATACGTGTAATTGGAACGTTATACTGAAAAACGACGATAGTCTTAACGAAATAGTTTTATCGATAATTGGTTTAGTTGTAACAACCTGCACGGGTTAATGTGTTGAATTACATTACGATGTCATCAGCAGACGTTACGGAATCAGAGTAGAGAGAGAGAACCGTAATCACTTCTGCAGCAGCCCTCGTCATTTTAATATTATCACGTTGGCTCCAATAGTTAGGTGGTGACTAATTACACAAGCTTTGACAATTAAATTGTGGTTTTAGCCAGTAATAATAGACAGATAGATACCTCAGCTGGCTCTAGCTTCAGTTGCACGGGTTCAGCGTGTATTAAAATATATTGATAGGTAGTTGCGAAACAAACATAAACGTTCGTAATTAATAATATAATTCCCTTGTTTCGGCGTTTCGTGCTATTCAAACTAAAACTGTATTTTAAAATTGAAACAAAATATCACTTTAATGATATCTAATTGTTACGTATTCTATGGTTAGAACCAGGTAATACGTTCATCATTGTTAATATTAATCACGAGAGGTAAGTAAACATTTTCCAGTACGAATTCCAGACTTCCTTTTATATTTTTGCAATTCAACAATATGTTAAATGATATGTTATATCATAATTCAACCGTTAAAAGTGGATCGCCTAAACAATTATCTACCTAGATGAACAAAATTGAAAATACATGCGTCCTGTATGGATTTTATTTATGTAAATTTTAAATATTGAATAATATGTGATCGACGATTACATAATATAATAATAGTTTACTTAGTGGACGCTATTTGACATGTATCCATGAATACACATGGATGATTTAAAATTTATACAATGCTCAATCTCTAAATTGTAATTGGTAAATTTTTAATTGAAGTACAATTAGCATATTTGATTACTGTATCTTTTATATTTTTTATGCTTCATTGCGTCTTACCTAATCTAACCATAACAGTAGCTTTATCAAAATATAAAACTTATAACTCATGAATGACGCGTACGCGGCATGTTTTTATGGTAAACAATAAAACTACCTAACGAATACTACATACTCATGTGAATAATTTCACATTTTATTTATTTTTGTTTTAATCATTACTTTAATTTGCGGAAATATAATATATTGTATACATATGCGGATAATTCAATACTTCTTAGAAATTAATTTCAGAAACAATATCAACAATATAACTTAAACGTTTTCTTACTAATAAATATTTAATTATTATGAAATACATTTTTCAAACTTAAATATATATATTTTTAAATATACCATCAACTGAAAATAAGTGATTGGGAAAATTGATTAGATTCTTTATATACTTTACCATAAGTAAACCATACTTATATATATATATATATTTTGTTGTTAACCTATTTAAATAAAACATAATTGCTGTCATATCAATGATATATCGTTTCTTGTATTCCTAAATGTATTTTGGTTTGATTTTTAATTTGTTTAAGTTGCTAAGTTATAAAACTTCAAATTATTTACTCTATTTTAGTGAATTTAACTTATCAACATAAAGTTATTAAATTTTATAAAGTATTGATTTTTATTTGTATGTGCATTGCGTCGTACAGGTACCTTACTAAAACTATTTACAATATACATGGTATGTTTTAATATTAATATTACCTAACTATGATATACAAAACTACACAGGTATATCAGATATATGTTACCTTGGGGGATATCAACTGTTTGATTCTTAAAACCGTTGTAATGTTAATTTAATTTTCTGCTGTACAGGAAATGTTAAGGAATGTTGCATATTCTTTACTATACTTCTAATTTTTTGTTATTAAACTTTTATATATAAGGTATTTTTTTTTAATAAGTGCTCATTATTTCAATAAAAATGATATTTTTGGGAAATATAAGACATATGCAATTCTAATATTTGCTTATTTATTTTTTTCCTTTTTGTTTATTGGTAAACCCATTATCAAATTTTGAATTTTAAAATTAAATAATACTCATTTTATTTTTTATTTCATAATCTGAAGCATAAAACTTTTCTAAAAATGTTAATTTAAGTAAAAATATAAAATTTTTAACTAGTAGGTAATTTATATTTATTTTTGCATTTAAATTTTAAAGTTTAGATGGGCAGAGTTGTAGATCACAATTTTCGTGTGGTGGGTAGGTACTTCATTCTTCTTATCTAAACTTAAAATATTTATATATATATATATTATTTTTACATCGGATTAAAATATGTTAAGTACTGAAACAAATGGCACAAAGAGTTATTTATGGTGGTTTTATACCAAAAAAAAAAAAAAAGGCTTGAGAAAGTAATAGGAATACTGAGTTTGTGATTAATTTATAAAAAAGTTATATTTTCCCTCTATATTTTTTTAAATATTGAAAGGAATCTCTTCACTTCTTCATCTAGAGAAGATTTACAATGGGTGTAAGGGAGTAAAAATTGTCAATGACAGCATAAGAGCTTTTGGTATGTTAAGGAAGTGATCATATTAAAGTTTTCATAACTAATTGCGGTATTCTCAATTAAACATTTTATGGATTTAAGTTTTTATTTTAAGTATTTAACATTTTAATTAATATAAAGAAAACAAGATAAAAAAATTTATATAAGACTTCAGTATTAGAAATATAATATCAAGTGTAAATAATTATAAATAAAAAATAAGTGAAACATATTGCTTGTACTTATAATTCTTGTAGTTTTTAAAATTAACAAAATAATAATTGAAATATATGTTATATTTATTAAGTCAAGAAATGTCTTTAATTATCGGACTATGCCTCTCAAAATTAGAATGAACAAGCGGTTTAATTAAATTACAATTATTTTTAACTATTGTATTATAACAATGTGTGGATTTATTTACAAATATTAACTTTTGTATAAATAATAAAATCTGCGGTTTATAAGTTTTATTAAAGGTACGAACTTTAAACTCAGAATAAATTAAATTAGTAGAATGTAATCTAGGTTTATTAAGAATAATTTTAATTAAGCAATTAATAGTTATAGACAGAACATCAACTTTTAGAAGTTAAACATATTAAATGTATTAAGTACTCATTTATGACTTCATGAGTGTTTGACTAAACTGATAAATTAACAAATAATGTTTTATAATTTAAGTTATTTAAGTCATTTTTAATCATTTTTTAAATTAAAAACCATGAATATTGAATAATATTTTTATAATTAGTGAAAGTATATTTTAACGAATAACTAATAACCGTTATAAATCATTGGATAGGCATCGATGAATACAATATCAAAGGTAGTTAAAAAGTTATAGATATCGAAGCTAGGACGTATTGTTTAGTTATCCAAGTTAATAAACATAGTATCATTAAAACCGTATACCACAAAAATTGTAAACAACTTTAGTAATTAAAATTTAATATTCACTGATTTTGTAATTTCAAATTTTGAATGACTATAAAATATGAAATACTTACATCAACTGTGATACCGTCCATACTAAAACTGTGTTTGAGATGTTTAGATGTTGGAACGTATCTATAGAATTCTTCATTGTCTTTGTACCAGGTAACCGAGTACAATTTGTCCATCTGCATATCATAATCACAAAATAACTGTACCGAATCTCCTATAAATATGTACGCAGGCACCTTAACACCAAGCATTTGAACTGCTTCACCTATGTCTAAAATACAAATAGTTATAAATTAAAAAGACTATTTTTGTAATTGTATCGTGACAATGCATATCATCATATAGATTGCAATTTTTTTTTTTTCATTCAAATTGGATTAAAATAATCTAGTAGCCTTATCAATAGTTCAGTATCTGTAGTAAAATATAACAATTTCAATGTGTGAAATGTAAATTTATTAAGTTAAAATAATTTTATAATTGAATATTGAAATGCTCCTATGGCCCTATTTAAAAGGATAGATTATCAAAGGAATTAAATTATATTTTTTTCAATCATATCAATACTAAAATAAATTCATAAATATAATACTTGAGTATATTAAACTACATATTAAATAATAATCATTATTTTCCCTCAATACCAATCGAAACTAAAAATATTATCAACCATAATTTTTTTTTGTGGTATAAAATATAGTAATAAACATTAGACTTGTATTTTGTTGTAATTAATTATTGTTATTACTTTCAAGAGTTTATTAAAATAATTATAAGATACATTACGATATTTTCAAATTCTATTCTCAATAATAACTTTAATGACACATTATTAATTGTAATGTTTTAATGTTTAATAAATGTATAATGGACAGCAATAAGTAATTTATTTTATATTTAATTATCTACTTGTTGTTGTATATAAAATTGGTTTATCAATAAATCTTAGAACTAATATAATGCAAATAAGAAAAATATGATGACATTTTAAAAAGGGTAATGTCCAAGGGCGGTAAATTACATCAGTACAAAATATTTATTACATGAATTATTAAATTTGATTATTTGTCAATTTTCTTAGTATTAAATGTAGTTTAGATTTTATGTGATGAAATAATGGTTTTGTAATTCTGAGATAGATACTAAAATTAGCAATTAGTAAAAATTTTTTTAAATATATATAACACTTTAAGTTATGTTAATAAAAAGAATCTATGATTATACGATTAAAGTTTAAAATAATCTAGCTTTATTTTAATGAACGATTACTTACGTTATATGAAATACGTGTAATTTTAGATAATTTTAATATATTTTATAATTTACAATATTTAAGTTGCTACATAAATAGTAATTAATATTAATAATGTTTTGAAAGTTTAGATTTCTATACCATATTTTAATTATTATAATTTATAACGGATTTCGGTGTAATCTAGCTATAATATTAACTGTAAAAATGGTCGTTATTAATTATAAAACCCGTCAGGATTTTTGTTTACATATGTTTTTTTTACTTTAAGTCACTATAAAATGCATTAATTTTATTAAAAATGATAAAATCAATACGATGCTTAAAAAGCATTAAATATAAAAGAGTAAAGGAAAGGAATTAGATCAGAATATGGGCATGATACAAGATTGTGGTGACTTGGGTATTAGTGATGGCGTCACCTAATGAGATGGCATGTTCATTATTCGCTGTACCTGCGTGGGTAAAGGAAGTATCAAAATGCGAATTTATCAGTTTGCTTTTACTGAAGAAGGGTAGATATGAATGTTCTTGAGTCTTTCCATCAATTACGGTGTGGACATGAAAGTTTTTCAATATTGAGATGTAGGTATTATTATTTAGTTAATATTTAATTTACTATAAAAAGTATAAAAAGTATTTACGTTGGTACTTAAGTTAAATGTATACAATATAATTTATAAAATTGCAAAAATATTCAAAAAGATAATATTATAAAATTAAGGCTTCCAAATATTGACGATCCTACAAAAAATATAGTTAGAAGAAAAAACATTTTTTTGTTTAAACATTCAATCTTGTCAAAATCTGAATTTTAAATATCTAAAAAAAAAGTTATACCAATCTATTTACAATATTTTTAATTTGGTATAGTTACAAATTATAAGAATTAGTATTAAACTTTTAAGTTTTCGACTTTTGAAAGAAAAATCGTTATCAATATAATTTTAAATGTTCACAAATAATCCAAAAAGGATCAATTTATTTTTAAAACTATATAATATCAAGAAAATGTTAAGATTTTAAATACAAATAGGTTTTTTTGTATCTAAGATTTCTTGTTTTGAACACGCAAAGGAGATAAAATCTGTTACAAGTAAATACTTACAAAGTTTAAGGTTTAAGCATTTTTACTATAAAAGTAATAGACACAAAGAACACAGTTATCATTTTTAAACAAATATTTAATAGTAAACTAAGGTAAATAGTATCATTAAAAAATATGAAATTATAGTAGATAGTAATGCACTAGGTATTAAATTTCATTTTCAAAGACTATTTAATCCTTTAAAATTTAAGGTATTATAATAAACACAAAATATACATAGAAAAAATTTCCTTAATGCAAAAATAAACATAGAATATCGAAATTTAAATGAAATATTAGAAATTTAAACTTCTTTATACTATAAAATTATTATAATATTAATATATTTAATAGTACACAACATTATATTTATTTATAAAAAATAAGCAGACAATTGTGATAGCTGAAATATCACCCTACGCTACATAATACCAACTAGTACAAGTTTTGTATGGAATATTACCTTAAAGTTTTAAGACAACATAATCATTTTTGTAAACTAAATTTGGTTTAGATTTGTTTTCAAATTGGATAAGTCATTTTAAAATTTAACATGACATACGATTTTGTATGGCTTTCCAAAAACTGTAACCAATACAGTAAGATGATATAATGCACTTCCTAATTTTTTTAAATGTTTCTTTCCATCAATTAAAGTTATTGTATAATTTAATTACTATTTAGTTCACAAATATTAGCCTTGGTCTATTGTTTAGTTTAATAATAATATTATGTTAATTATTTATTTAGTATAATGGATTTTAAGGAGCTAGATAAAAATTTTATTTTTCTACGTATATTTTAGCTTAGATTTGATTTGAAATAAATTATACCTAATAATTCATTTTAAATGTGAATATAGTAAGAAAAATAATTAAGAAAAAAGTATTAAAGTATGATTAATAATTATAGAAATAAAACTGTTAATTTATAAATTATAATATAATTGTAAATTTATTTGCTTGTATTATTTTAATATTTTTGGTTATAATATAATGTAAGTACTTGAAGTTTGCTAAATTGTAATAGTTTTATATTACTATAGTTCTCGATTAATATTAATTTATAAATTTTTATTCTCTTTGTATGAAGGTAGGTAATTGATAATTTTCTGATTGACTATTTTAAATTCAACATTCGTACGTTGAATCGTGTATGGAATACTATATGGCCTTCCAAAACCTTATGTGAATATATCATAAAATATGAATTAATCCGACAATTTAAAATAAGAAACATTTTGTTGATTTTAACTTAAATTTTTATTAGAATCCAGTATTTTATTAAACATGATTTCATAGATAACACACATTATGCAATATGCATGTATATTTAATAAATAGTAACACATACCTGACGAATAATATATAACATGAATATAACTAACATGAAAATAATTAAATACTTAAGTTAAATTTATTTCATCGATAAAAATTGTATATTATACTTTTTACTTACCACAAGGATCTAATACCAAAAACAGTAATGCTATCATAATAGATGTAGTTTTTGTAGTTGATTTACATTCACCCATCTTAAAACTAGATTTGAAATATATTACGGTATTTTTATTCTCTTCATTGAATTTTCTGTAAAATTGAACACACACATAATAAGAAACATATTAAATGGTATTTTAGAAAAGTTACTTCAACAAATAATGCAATTACTAAATGTATGCTTATATTTTAGCACAAGGCTACTTTACAAGGATGATGGACAGCCTTTGTATACAATTATTATTTTTGTTTGTTTATCATACACATAGTATTTTGCATTTAATTTTTCGTAAGTTTAAAAATCATTTTACGCTAAAATGTATTATATTTTTTTTTTTTTTTTAGGATTTTAAATATTTTATTTCGAGCAAATCAAATATTGTATTTAGTTCTTTTTGTGAATTTGCTTAAATTTAAATTAATTTTATCTCAAGCACGCTTTTTGAGTAGAAGAGATACACAAAATATTTGCCCTCAAGCACAAATTTAAATTGATTGAAATTTTAGTTTAGTAGTCTCTTAAAATATTTTCATAAGCGTCTAGATATCTAGAAAGGACTGTTTCAGACATTTTATCAAACATTATTATAATAAGTTCTGTTCAAATATTGATTTTTGAATATGATGATTTATTATTATCATAAAATTTAACATCGCAATATTATTTTTATATTATTTATATTATTATTAATATTCTGACTAAGTCAAAAAGTCTAATTTTGTTGAATTAAAAAATGTTATTATGTATCTTAAATTTTAAAAAGATAGACAAATGGATACCACTCTGCTGCACATCAGGTGTCGAGTAGGTTACTATTATGGGTGTGTTAAATTTAAATTCATTGATATATCATTATATACGAAGAACGATTCAGAGCAAAAACGGTTTCTCATTCTTTATCACCAGGTTTATTTTATGATACGATTTTTTGATGTAGCTATTAAAATGATTTATTTTACTTTTAATATTACAGTAGGTTAATACAATTTTTCCCGAAAATATTGCATTTATTAAATTATTAGTGTTTGATTATTGTAATATGTTTTTATACCATATTATATCACTATAATTCAACATTTAATAACATTTTTCTATAAATACCATAAAATAGTACAAATGGATTTATAGTATAAATATATATATCTTTAAATAGATTGAAAATGTTATTGCGTGTTGTAAAATTCATAATAATTTAATACACGTAAAAGCTTAAGTTTTCTCGTATAATGTTTTAAAATTATAACAAAATAATTAATAATATATTGTTATTTATCCTTTAAATAAGTAATTTCGTACAAAATTGAACTTAAAATGTCTATATAAATAATTGCCTTTGTATTACATTCTTAAAACTTAAATATAAAAAAAGGTTTTTGGATTTTTAACTAGAAAAAGTTTGTAACTTTTTACGAATTTAATGAATTTTGTCAAAATTCTAAACTTGAATACTTATAATAATATTGTGACAAGAAATATTTTTAACCAGCAAATAATTTTCAATTAAAATTTTTAGAAAAAAAAAAAAAATTGAAAATGACTTATCCTTATAGTAGTTTAAAATAGTCAAACATTTTACTGTAAATAGAAAATTATAACTTAAACACATGGTGAAAATTTCAAGTAACTGCGGTTAATTGTTCTTGAGTAACATCAAATAATAAAATGGATTTCGTACAAAATTGAATTTGTATAAGCATTTTTTTCTTAACTTTTTTTTGTTTTTCTCAATTATAAAAAAAATTATTATTTTTAACTACAACCCATTTAGAGAAAAAACTAGATTTATTTTGCTACTAAAAATCACTCTCAAATTTGAAACTGAAGCTTTTTATCGATTACTTATTGTGTAAATATTAAAAAAAAAAAGAATAAATAAAAAAGAATCAAACACTATTTTAAAATCAATATATTCATCGTTCCATTCAGAATTTTAAATAGGTGTATTGAAAACATAAAAAATATAAAAAATAAGTACTAGTCAAACATTTATTCGTTATAGTTATAATGGAAAAAATATTGTAACTTATTGTAATGATTCAATTCATACAATTAAATCAAACTAATAAATTGAAAATTATTTGAAAAGTTAATATTTTTTGAATTAAATAAATAATATATATGTTATTGTAAGAAATTGATTGTATATAATAAATACTTTAAAAACTGGTTTATTTTACTAGACAAAAATGGTAATTAAACAATTAAGCAATAATATTGTCCCTAATATTAATAAAAAATATTTAAAATTTTTACTCAATTCATATTTTGTATTCAAAGTATACAAATTACACATCCCTGAGTACAATACTTATACAATGTAAACTTTTTTATTTGTTCCAACATCTTCGAATGACTATATTGTCGTTCCTAATCCTTTATTTTAAATCTTAAATTTACTGTCCTTACCTCTCATTTATACCTTCTAGCAAATGAAAATGTCAATGGTGCAGAGGTCTCTTCAATAACATAAATATATGATTAGTTTAAAAATTGTTTACAAATAACTTTCTTTTTTCGTGATCAATAGAAATTCTTTAATTGGATTACTCCTTTTCACATCACCTAAGTTTTCAGTATAGTAATATAAGTAATTAAACTTTATTATTTTTATAACTTGTTGTAAGTATTATGTATGATTTTTGATAATTTATTGATAAAACAATTACGTAATTCTAGAATAGCTTGAACTTTAAAAAGAATGAGTGTCTGAAATTCTAGATTTTTGAAGTTCAAAAATCGAAATAATTAGTCTTTTCAGAGACTAGTTTTAAGCCGCAATTGTCACTTATCAGAGTAGTCAGATATACAAATTCAATAATAATAATAAAACATTTTAATGTATTTTGAATATCTTGGAGGAATTTTTAAAAATATCGATATTTGAAACTAATATTTGGGATTTATAGATACCTAATTAAAATAAACTAAAAAGTTAGCTTCTTACTTAGACTATATGCTTCATTGTTTTCAGGTATTTTTTCAAGAAATTTATTTCTATATTAAAATAAATATACTTAATAAAATTATATAATCATAGAAGAAATAATTGTAAGTTGTTATTTCAATATAAATATATATATATAGATCTTTAATCATAAAAACCAAATACAAATAATTATAATAAAAAAAGCATAAATTAAATTACATAATTCAATTTTAAGTAATTCAAGTTTCGAGAAAAAATATTATGACACATATAAATGTATAGCCCATTAACTTTCAATCTATGTAATTACTCCCCAAGTAATATTCCATTCGAAAATATCATAAACTCTTGAGTATTCCTTTAATTTTGAATGCATGGATGATTTATCATCAGTATTAAACCACGCCTATGGTCGGTTTGAATATAGGTGTAAGGTGTCGGTTCGACTTAATATTAGGTGAAATACCTCCAATAAATTACTCGGGTTAGCAAAATTACCCCTCGCCGTGCACGTGAAATGATTTCCTTATACTTTTTTTCTTTTCATTGTTGGGAAGGAAAGTCTGCCTTAAATTTCCACCCGTCGACCATTGGTTATGTAGGTGCAATAGTGAATAGGGTGTACGAACACTATACTTACTGGCACGCGACCGGTGAAATGCATAATAGCCGTTGTTTTTAATGACTTCGCGTCTACGCGACTCTTGTTTTTGCCAATCTCTCCTTCCCCTTTCCATAACCTTCCCTGGTAACCTAATGTCCTACGGCTATAAACACGAACGTCACCTTTATCGGTTTAAAATAGGCAGCTTTAGTCCATATTTTTTTTTCTACTTCAATGGCAATTCAACTAAAATAGTACTAATATAACATGGTAAAACACGATACTTATTATTTAATGTTCAATTTTTAGTGACATTTTTATTGAAAGCAGGTAAATGGATTTGATTTTTTGACAAATTTTAGGTTTAAAATATGTGATTGGTATTTGTTTCAACTTAAGGTCTTTTAAACAAATAACACATGATATGTACTCAGTGCTATGAATATTTTAGTATAAAATAAAGGTTTATCAAAAATAAAAATAATAGAGTTGGAAATAGCAGTATAAAATAAATCCAATATTTAAAAATATTGGAACATGATTTTCCAGATTTTATAATTTATAATATTTATAATTTAAATATTTAACATAAGCATTGGTATTTAATTTTTTATTAAAATCTAAAATTACAAGATTCGTAACATCATTTTAGATTCAGCATGTCTTTATTTCTGAAAGTCATTTAATAGAAAATATGAAAGTTACAACTTTTTTCATACGAATTACGTTAAAAATAATATTTGGTTATTTTTATTAAACCGAAATTAATTTTAAACTTTGAAATTGTTTGTTTTTTTTTTATTCTCAGTATAATCAGGTTCACGTTATTTTTTCAAAATAATAATTTTTAGTATTTTAAATTTATTTCAATAGCTTTGTATACAATAGAAAGAGGACAAGGATAGTAATTATTTACACTTCTAAATTTTTCAAATTTTCAGTTGTTTTTTGTATTTGAAAACAGAATAAGTAATTTCACATTGTTCTTATATTAATTGTATTGAAAAATTTAAGTGTTTTAAAAATGTACTCCATGTAAAATGTAATTCAAAATTAATAGTAAGTTTATTATATTATATAGCTTGAATAATATATTGGTATTTGGTGATAATTGATAACTATTATAATTGATTGTAGTAAAAATAATTAAAGATATTTTTCTAATCAAACATTTAACATTATTGTATTTTTTGTATTGATGAACACAGCTATGGGTTTTTTTTAAGGAGGATATTGCTTTTTAATAAATAAGTGCTACGTCTACTTAAAATGATAAAAAAAAAAAAGATTTGATTTTAATAATAATTTCAAATTTATATACACAGTTAACCATTTTGTTCAGAATAATAATTAAATTATAATTTTACTGTTAAAAATAAATAAAATGTTCAATATTGATACATATTGATTATTTTCTTACTTATTTATTTATTTCATTATTATTTTAATTAAATTCGATTTTTTTCATTTGGTGAATTTTATTTATTATTTACTTTTATATTTGTTAGATTTAAATACGTTTACCTAGGTTTAAAAGGTTTTTCAAATTATATTTTACCTAATATATATTTTTTAAATTGTATTTATGTTTTGATTGTTAAAATAAAATATAAAATAAATATATATATATATATATATATATATATATATAATTAAAATTGAGGAATATTGTTATTTGTTATTAAATATAACTAATAAGTTAAAGTTTCTTATTACTAAAATTATTAAAATTGATCAATTAAAAATTATAAATATCGGTTACATAAGATGTCTTACCGAAAAAAGAAACTTTCAGATTATTTTGAAAATATTTTCTCGACCACCTTTATGTATACATTATTTTGTAATTATTGATGAAAAGTCATACTAGTAATTTATATACCTCTAATATTTAAATCTCTATCCATTATATTACAATTTGAATATTTTAAAACTACTAATGTTCGGCGTGTAGGAGCTTACGAAATTGTCTGCGACCACAATGTGTCCTTTATTGTAACTATGTCATCAGGCTTTAATGGTATTGCTTTAAATCTCTTTCATTCTATGTGGTTGACAAAAGCCTTTATAACTTTGCCGGAAAATACTTTTTGGGCTAGTGTACAATTCTAAAAATGGATTTATGCTGAGTGCAATTTTAATTATACAAGAGTGTTGCGTGTTATTTATGCAAATCCTAAAAAGGGACTTACGAAATCTATAGTATGTTCGTAATATCATTGGCTATAGTAAACGTATATTATATACATAGTATATTTCATACAGTATTATAGCAGTCAATCGTTATTTTTGACTTAAAACAATTTTCATATCAACATTGATTTTTGATATTTATTTTGTTGAGCAGTTTAATTTATAATAAAACATTGATGGATTTAGTAGGTAAAAATTATTTTTATTTGTTATTTTAGATTAGAAATTTTGAATGAGTATATTATGGTTAGGTTTTAACAGAAATAGTGAATTGGAACGCAGGAAAAGATCTAGAAAAGAAAAAATAATCCACCCTTCAACGTTTCCTTCTCAATATTATTTCTACAGCGTAGCGATTTATAACAAATTTCTATAAATTAAATTAGGTCTGTTGATTATAGTTCTTTCCATATTTATAATATGAATAGTATTGAACATTTGAATTAAAAGTGAAATTACTATAAAACTGAAAATAACCAATTTAAATAATATTTAAAATATTTTGTAAATATTTTAAGTTAATATACAGTTATTCAGTATTGATGGTATTTATTTTAAAAGAGACAAAATAAAATATTATCTAAATAGTAGATTATGTAGCCAATTATATTATGTAGGTAACTACAGCAAATTTATATGATAATAAAATTATAGGTAGATATTTTATTTATTTTGTAAAATTTTAGGATTTTGTTTAAAAAATAATATTAATTTTGTCATATTCTTTATAAAAAAGATAGAAAATGTTAGTTTCCTCACTTCGGATTGTAAAACTTCATTACGTCTTGATTTAATAATTCCATTAAATTTGTCGTTTTTACTTTACACAAGAAGATCTTTTTCTACTATAATTTAATTTAAAATTTGAAATGTTATGTAAATTATGAATTAAAATTCATTATCAAAGAAAAAAAAGTAATGATTTAGTTTAAATATCTAGGAGTACGTATTTGTATGGTCTAAATTCTAAATGTATTGCTTTAAGTTGATAAACACTTTTTTGGCTTTAAAGTTGGTTAATAGTTAATAGCAATAGTATGTAGCATTTAAATTAAGTGTTCATATTAAGTTTTTACTTTATTAAGAAAAAAAACTTGTGCATTATTTTTCCAAAAAAATACGAATAAATATGTCAAAGAAATCAGTTTAGAATCGTTTTAACTGGTTTAAGAATTCTATAATAATGAATGTAGTTAATGTAAATTTTACTGTTTGGTATGGTAAAAAATCATTAAAACCTCCTTTTAAGTTTCAATAGTTTGGTGGGTAGCGTAGAAATTAATTTAACTATCATCGTTCAAGAAATATTTATTTAGTTTACTCAATATTCCTTTTTCAGAATTTGTGTTACAACTATACCGAATCATAATTTTGAGAAGATAAATTACAACTAAACTATTTAATATTTTACTTCATATCCGTAGTATTTACATATGATTTATTTTTTTGTTACGACAGTTATTGCCTATCAATATAAATTTGTATTCTTATTTTGATTTAATTCTATGTTTATATTAAAACAATCTAAAATTTAAATTATTAAGTATACTGTTTAGCTATTTGTTTATTACACATATATTCGGTAACTTTTTTTAAATTATAGTCCATTTTCTATAGATCTTACTAGTGTACTATGTGCGATATAATTTATTTATTAAACCCAACAGAAACATTGATGATTGAAAACAAAGGTTTACTTAGAATTTATGTATACAAATAGTTTTGAAATATTTACAATAAAAAAAAACCCCGTTAAATAGCCAATCAATGTATGGAAAATGTAATTGCTTAATTTAATTTATGATAATTCTTTGGCATAATTAAAGAGGATATATGATTGTAGAACGTACAACACATAATATTTCAAAGCCCTTTAAAAGTAAAGTTGTTGACACTGAAAATATACATATTTTAATTATAAAGTTAAAACACTTAGTGAGTTTCTTTAAATTGCTTAGAAATGAATTAATTTTTATCTTGACCATTATTATTTGAATTTTGGAAGACATTGTACATTTAAGAACATGGCATGACGTGTTGCTTAAATGCTTGCCACTCATGCAAGAACAAATAACCGGAAAAGCGACTTAATACTAGTGTCGGGCTGTAAACTCTAAAGTAAAGTATGTCTACTCCACTAATTTCTCCTTATAATTTTTATTTTAGTTACTCTTGAATGATAAATTATATTATTATTATATTAATTGTTGAATTATAATGAATTTTTTGAGAGATCATAAATGGTTTGTGAATTATCATAATATTATACGTATAAAATACTTAGTAATGCGTATTTATAATACATTTAGTGTTAGATACTTTTGTTTTTGATATGAATTGCCTTGACTTTTTGTACAACTTTAAATTTTTTAATTATACTAATATTGTTCGTATTCTATGTCAAATTGTAAGGTCTTGAGGGCAATGCTAACGGATGAGAAAATGGAAGTACCTATATTGAAGTTTATACAATTTTCAATTATTTTTAATTCTATTAAAATTTAAAAACAATTGTTATCTAACTGATATTGTATTTTATCTTTTGAAATGTATTGTTTAATTTATTTATAGTTAGATGATATTATTATTGAATAAAACTAACATTTTAAAATGTATTTTAAATTTCATGTTTAATTAAAAATTAAAATTAATACAACGAAAATCAAAATACCTAGAAAAGTAAATTTATGTTAAATCGCATAGGAAAAACCACTTATGTTATGAGTATTTAATACACAGCTACAGAAGGAAACCCATGAATATCGTATTATATGGTTTCGCAGTGCAAAATTGATCTCTTTAAATTATGTTTGTATGCTTATTTAAAATTACAATTAATATTGATCGTTTTTATAAAATATACAAAAGAATATATATATTTGTACTGACCCAAAAAACCAATTTTCCATGTATTAGAAATTTTAAACAAATTATATTCATAGAATTTGTCTTAAAATTTGATCATGATATTAAAACTATAGATTATACATACATTTAACTATACTTCTGTATAAAAAAATATTAATTACATACGTTAATATTCTATAATTAATATAGATCGACGGATCTTACAAATTAATAATCAAACTATTAATTACTGATTACTGATTATCTATTAAAATAATACAGCGATCGCTCAATATGACAATCAGCGATATGTACAATCCATAAATTAATTTAATTGAAAAAAAGCCTCGCCATAATAAAATTATTACTGTATAATTATGATGCAAAATTTATCATTGTATAATAATAATCTTTATTTTCGATCAATATTCGACCTATCTGTGGCATCCTCACGCTGGTGTTTTCCTTAGAACATTAATTATATTGTTACTTTTATTATACAATAAAACACTACGACAGTTCACAATAATCGTTATTTTGTGCTATGTGTTCTATAATAACAATTATACAGCGTTTATAGGATATAATGAAAATTGTATACACAATTCTATGATTATACGCTACCGAATAAGCGCAGTAAGAAGCAACAAAACCCGATAAAATGAAATATTATTGTCAAAGATTTGCTGGAATATTATGAAATAAAGAAGTAAACAAAAAAAAGTTAATAATATATATTATAATCAATAAATTAAAAAAAAAAAATGATACTGAAAGTAGCTCGTTAAAATTAAATAATAAGCAAGAACACGAAAAAAAAAAGACATTGTAAAACCAATAGCTTTTCTGTTTCTCTCAGAATCTAAAATACAAATGTTTTAATTAAAATAAAAATGTGTAGGTACTTGGAAATACGTAACCAGTTGAAAATATTATTTTTCTGATAAGCACGATGTCATGACTGCACAGCTGAAAAAAATTTCTATATTACTAAAACAATGAATACAATAAAGATTACGCATAGTATTGTGTACAGTTATTATGTGTACGTACCTTTTAAATATTAAAAGTGTCATCAGTCGAGTGTTTGGTTTTCATATTACAATATTGAATATGAAGGAAATTCTGAAATATACACATAGACTATTATCGAATAAGTATTATCTTAAGTATTTACTATTTTTACTAAGTTAGTTCTCAGTTAATTTTTAATAATATACATCGTAAGATCAAAAAGAATGTCGGTTTTTAAGTAAAGTTAACGCAATTTTTTTATGTCATAATTTTCACCATATTTTAATAATCTATACATTTATTTTTATAGCATAACAATTTGTTTATTATAATTTCGTCATAACAAATATTTAAAAAATAATATATAGAGAGATTCGCCAAGCCATATCATTAATAATAAAATTATTTAAATTTCGATTTTTGAAATTTTTAAGTATTCTAATTAGAATTGTATTTTCAATTATTTTGATTTTTTTTACTGTTTAAGGAGTATTTTGTATTGTTATAAGCTTATTTTATTCAAGTTGATGTATCTAGAAAAAAATTCGAATGAGTAGTTTTTGATTTAAAGTGAATATTTTAAAATGTATATAAAATTGAATTTAATATTTTTGAACTCAAAATATTTAAAAAAAAAAAAACATAAAATGACAATAAATTAGTATTAATTACTAAAATTTTTAATTCATTAATATAGCTTTATATTATTCAACCTAATTATTATAGATCTATTATCCTAAACACACAATGGATTAATATATCAAAAAATATCGTTCAATTGAATTTGAATTAGGTAGGCATATTAAAATTTCCAGAAAAGTGATCTAATTAACAAATCATAGAAAAAAGGACGATTTTAATTTAATCAAATTATGGAATAATCGTTTTATATAGTTGTATTCTGGATACCCATTTCGTGAATATTATTTTACATTGTTTAATATTACGTAATTTTGTGTGGTTTTTTTTTTATATCGTGTAATAGACAACTAATTTTTGATTATTAAAATATTTAAGTGTTATAATAATCTTGAAAATTATATTTTTTTAAATATATTTTAGAAATTTTGTATTATTTTACACTCAATCATTCGTGTATTTTACCATAGAAAATGAATGAAAATATGAGTAAATTATAAAATAAATAAAATTTCATAATGTAAAAAAAAAATTAAGATCTTATTATTCAGTTTATCAGTGAACACTGCTCATATATTATTAATTATTTAAAAAGTATAAAATGATTTTGAAATAATATGAATGATTTATTGACTTTCATTTAAATGTTGTCACAGTTTTTGTCCATCAAAATATTTAATTATTTTGCGTGAAACAATTTAATGATGTTTAAATTATTAAAATTAAATAAACTGAATTTATTCATTAAACATACCTTTAACATTATTTATGTATAACTCAGATTGGAATGTTTTGAGTAACAATTTTATAATTGTATAAACGCTTGCCGTTTTATGAACATAGGGTGTTTTAAATTGTATAAAGTCGTAAAAATAATTCGTGTTTAAGAAAATAAATGTTATTCACATTAAAAAAAAAAAAAAATTGATGAAAAATAAAAAAAAGGTGTTTAAATCTTTTCTTATTTCATTTACCTGGATACAGAATAGGATGTGAATATTATTTTAAATTTGAATGCATCGATTTAAAATAAGACTTTTTGTGAAACTAATTTCAATAAATAATGTTTATTTACTAAGATAATTGAAAATGTTTAAATTAAAATTGTAAGTTGTATAAAATAAAAATAGAGAAAAAATAATCCAATTTGGTTGAAAAAGTAACTAAAAACACATCATTTTATAAAATTATATAATAGCTTCATTATCCTTTTGATAATAACACAAAATAAAATGTTTGTTAATTAAAATATATTTAAAGTAAATTATTGTTCTATTGGAGTCTCTAAGTAATAAAATGTCATCATACTATGAACTTTTCCTCTAATATAAATACGTGTATTTTAAAATATCTAATTAAAATTATTATTTACTATAATATTTTACTTTGTATGTTAAAAACTTAAATAAATACAATTTAAATTTATCTCTAGCAATGGTACCATCATTATATAGAGTAATGATCAAGGAAAGGTTTTAATTATTTTACGAAAATATTAATTTCCTCGTAATTAATAATAAAAAAGCAATAGCTGACTGAAGTTTTCTACATAAACAATAACAATGATATTATTTCTTCTGTTTTCACTCCGTATCTTTTTTTAGATTTTCCATTATTGTTATTATTATTACGTTTTAGCCCACCTACTTTAAATGTGAGCCCATAAATTGTTTAACAAATCCCGAAGACGGTTTGGTATTAAATACGACAAAAGAAAGTAATTTTTGTATGAAAAAAAAAAGAATGAAATATTGTAATCATAGTAATACAAGTATAGTAATAATTGGTAACGGAATATAAACATTTCAATTTATGCTTAAATGTACAATATTATATTCTTTTTCATATTTTTAGTTTTAATTTAAAATTTTTTTATGTATAAATTGTGATTTAATCATTAGATAGGGTATATAGCAAATAAAGCAAAAATCGGTCAATTAATTTTTGTATTGAAATCTCAAGTGACTAAAAAATGGTGGGAAGTCTAGTTAAACGAAACAGAACGATGAGATCTCTCATGGGAACAAAACCTTAGCTTACTGTTAATTCTTTACTATTATTTGTTTATTTGTTGTAATATTATGTAATATTTAATGCACAGACGTATTGGGAAAATTATTTTTGGAAGTCTGAACTGTTTGGAGTTTATTTGTAATATAAGATTAGTAAAAAGTTGTTTATAAATAATTTAACACCACCAAAAGAAATACATACCAGAATAAAGCCTCGAAAAACAATTAGATTTACATTTTGATTTATATTTTCCGTTGATGTCATAATTTAAAACTTAAGTTTTGAAATCGACGTAGACATTCGTTATACCTTAAAATTTAAATTACTTTATTCGGATTTTGGTTCTTTTTTTGAAAAAACTTTAAATTATTGATGTTATTTAATCAAATAATATATTATTTTACTAATAACTATTTTTTCTGTAACTAACACACCAGACAACTAGTTATCAGGCAAATACACGATATAACTAAAGGTGTGTTATTGCTAATGACTACATAACGATTAATGATAAGTGTAATATTCTATTCTAAATCAGTCGGAATGGAAGAAATATATTTATTGAAGTGGTCAAACATAGATTTAATGATCAAAAAATTCATAAGATATTTTTTATTTAAAAAATAAACGATTTATGAGTTATGTATAGAGCATTGTACATGGCTTTGTAAATCCTTACTTTGGAGTTTAGATAGTATGAAATATTTATAAGATACATAGAATATAGATTATTTATATTTATTCTTAACCCTTCTTATGAGTACAATAGAACTCTGTAAATCTTTTGCTTTTACGATTGTGCATACCGTAAATTATTATGGTTCAACATATTCGAGAATACATAAAGTATTTCAGTTAAACTAATTCAATAAACGATAGGCGCAGTTCTCTCAAATTTAATTTTCACTCCTTGCAGGAACAAAAGTTTTCTTATTATTAACTTTGTTTGAATTAAATTCATTATTATACTTTCAAATTACACTTCAACATTAAATGAGCAAATTCAATAAATTAAAAAAAATGTTTAATAGTGAGTATATAATAAATTATAAATATTTTATAAAGAGCTTCACATGTTAAATAAAGTAAAAATAAGTATAAACTTTTGATTAAACAGTTGATATTATTTAAATAACTTATGAGCTTACCTTATCCGTGGAATCTGTTAATTTATACGAAGTTTCAAAGAATTTTATTATATTTAAATATTATGTATAATTGTAATGTGTATAATGGGTATATAAAATAAAGAATATTACATCTGGCTTTGAAATTAATTAAATACCATCACTATTTAATACTATTGACATATTGTAAAAATTAAATTATTCTTACGATATTTTCATGGTTTGTAAAACATTTTAAATATATATAGTTTTTTTTTCTTTTTTTAAATTTATTTTGACAATTTTAAACATACAATCTGTAATTATTAATTTACAATGAGCATGTGGGAGGGAATACATTTTTTTTTTTGTCTTGATACATATGAAAAAAGTAGCTAATGAATGGTAACACTTTATGTTTTTACTAGGATTGATTGATTTTTAGGATTAGTTAAAATTTTTCTATTTTAGAATTTTAAATCTCTACATTAATTTATAATTAGTTGTAATATTATTTGAATCATTTGTAACTAAGACGGAAAATTTAGTCTTTTCAAAATGTCATAAAAAGTTAAAGTTTAACTTTGAATGAAATATTTGAAAACTCATATTATAAGTACATAACCTATATCAAATGCTAAATAAATTTTTTTGATTAAAATTTACGGTTTTTTGTTGCTTTAGACGTGAATTTTACTATTTTTTTTTTTTTTTTACAATATTCAGAGGTAGTAAATTTTTGAAATTCATAGAGTAAATGTATAAAAATAAAAATATGCATTGAGTTAAATTGAATAATAATAATATTATTTAATGTTTAAAGATATAATAATGTTAATATTTCAACAATGCATGTGTAAATAAATATCGAAATATATATTTTATTAAAAAAATAATTCATAAATAAAATAAAATTTGATGTAAAAATTTGGTTTTTTGACATTTTAATTATCGTTATACTACTGTAAGTACGTATTATGTTGGGTTTCGTCTTTATTTTTAAGCTAAGATTATAATAATTGTTTTCTATTCAGAGAATCCGCCATTTTGAGGTTTTCTCATCAAAAATTAATGAAAATATCCTTATTCTCAAGAAGTCCACTATGGGAGATTTTACTGTAAATATAATTAAATATATATCTACTGATATTCATGAATGAATATTGATATATTATTTTAATTTTTCTTATTGAGTTACTGAAAAAACAAAATCGTCAAAAATTACTGCTTGAATTGAATACACATTCTACTTATCATAGTTATACTCATTTATCTTTAAATGCTTTTCTCTTTTTCAAATAGTTCAGAATGTTCAGATACTCGATTAGTTTTGTACTAAACATTAACTATAGT